TCACAATAGACATTTATACACCATTGGATAGAGAATTTAAAGGGCTACATTTTGGACTATTTATTTTTTAAAACACTCGAAATCGACTTTTTGGCCTAATGTCCGCTTAGTTGCCCACTGTGCATCTATCTTTTTCAAAGTCTTATTGCTAACCGTGCATCTTAAGCGACTTCTACTGAGTGCTTACGAACCGTTGTCATTCTACTGAGCGCAAAAACCAATGTCATTTTTGGATTCAGTACAACCGATTACCTATTGTCCAGTGAGTCTTTGCCTAAAAGCGATTAGACAGTTGGTGTCCTTTCCTTGTTAGCATTTGTTAGCAATTTTTTTCTTCATTACGTGTCTGTTATGTTTTAGACGAACACAGACATTTTTCTTATCATTTATGATCTTAGTTGACTATCTGTCAAACGAGTGGTCAGTATAACAAAAAAGTATGAGAAACCGACTTACATATTTTGGCCATATTTCGAAAAACATCAGACGGAAGTTACAGAAGTTGTGAGAAGGCCATGAGGAAATGAATGAAATTCGACATGATTTTAGTAATGGTAGCGATATACAAAATAGTGTTTTTATTAATATTTCATCAATATTATAAAAATATCGAATATTAACTGTTAATCTTTCTAATTTTGTTACTTGTATTAATAGAGAAATAATCTTCTTACTTGAAATATCATTATGATCGAAACTTAATTTAATTTCTTTTAAATCTTGTGATATCATAAAAGATGGGAACAGAGTAGCCTCTTCGTAAGGTTTAATTAAATTTAGATCTAAATATTTTAGTTTAGGCATATAGGTAAATAATGATCCCAATTCACTGAAGTAAAAGCCACTATGTTTGATTGTTAAATATTCGATTGATGACGATTGCTGATATGATTGTAGTTGAAGTTCACCAAAATTTGGTATTATATCATTTTTGCTAAACAATGATAAATATTTTAAATTTGTTAAATGAAATATTTTTGTAAGATTTAATCGATTAATGCTGTCATATGTTTGAACTGATAGATGAATCAAATTTGGAAAGTTTTCTAAGCTTTCGACAATGCTTTCCAAATCCTGTGATTTCCAATAGTCTGATCCTTTAAAAATTAGTTTTAGTGTTTGCAAATTTATCCAATTTTGGGCGTTCATTGTAAAGAAGTGATCTAGAAAAACATATATTCCTGCACTATATGTATAAGATCTTCAAAAGAAAAGACATCTAGAAAAATAACTTGCACCAAATAGTCAAATGTCTCAGGGAATTTTTTCTAAATAAACTATGCCAAACTAGTTCATCTCTCGTCTTTAGAAAACTTAGCAAATGTCTCTTTGTTTTTCTTTGTTCAATTTAAATTATGGTACAATCGAGATTATCTCCTCTAACATGGCACGTGCTGATGGATGAAGTCTTACTTGTTGTACTAATATCAGTAAAAAACCATTTCATCAAATCAGATTGTGATGGAAAATATGTTTGATTTCCATCTTCTATTGTTAATGCTTTAATTTGTTTTGTATTTATGTATGGAATAATATAATCAAATAAATCATCCAATCGAATAAGAGTTGAACATTTGAAATGGAGATAACGATTGTTAAGGAGCAGTTGAAAACGTTTATTTAAATAATAAAAACTATTGTAAATCTCGTTACTATTTAAGTAATCAAAGATATCGTATAAAATTTCGTTGGGTAATTGTTCGAATTTACTTATTGTCGACGGCATTTTTTTGATAGGATCCTATGATGTTTTTTTACTCTGCGTTTTGTGAGTGAAAGTTACACGTTTGTGAGACTTTTCTTACATGTACTTCCTTTAGAAAATGACATTATATCATCATTTGTTGTCATTACTATGTGAAAAAGAATAAAAAAGTTACTTATTGATTCATAATTTACCTTTATCAAATGTAAAGAGAAGAACAAAAACATTATGTAGTATTTATGGCAGTGAAGGAGTAAAAGGTACTTTCGTGCACTTGAAACACAAGAAACAAGTGTAAAAGGTTTCGTTTGACAAATCTAAGTATTTCAACTATCTTTCTGTTTTTTCAATGTACTGCCGATGTTTAGTTGATTAATCAGTGATGTATTTTAAAAAAATTAAGGTTTCTAGCGTGTTTTAAAACTAAAATTAAAAAGTTCACTAGTCACTCAAAGAACATCAGAAGGAGTTTAAAACTTCAGGATATCACTGACTTTTGTTCGCCAAACTTGATTATAAGATCGACAATGCGACGAGCACAATTTTAGTAATGGGTTTTCTAGAAAACCTTCTGGAAAACCTCAGAGTTTTGTAAAAGCTCCTTCTAGATCCCCTTTAAATAGAATATAGAATAGTTTAAACATTCTGCATTCTGAGTTTTGAATTCGTTCTGATGTTCTTTGAGTGAATAGTGAACTTTTTAATTTTAGTTGAAAACAGGCTGGAAAACCTAATTTGTGTAAAACTTGCTTTTCGCTAGATTTTTAATAAACTTTTTCTGACAAAACTGTTGCCAGGAGAAGCAGCAAGGTCGAAAACCTATGTGTTCATATGTTTTTGACTTTTCACAACGTATACTTAGACCGGTGGTAGTAGAATTAGTACAGCTTCTAAACAAAGAAAGATGAAGGTCTCGGATTTCCAGCATTATGAAGGAAAAGGCCTCTTGTTCTAACCTACGCCTAAGATCGAAACTGGTAATGGAAACATTTTTTTTTTTTGGAAGCAGAAAAGTGAAAGCAGCGTGAAAGTTACCAAAATATTCCGGTGTAAAAGCACTATAGAATGCCGGAAGATGTCTTATTTAGCTCAGAATTCTTCACTCTATCAGACTATAAGGTTGGTAACATTTTCTGACCCAAAACTAAGGACTTGGTTTTCCAGCGGTCAGGTTTTCTAGAAGCTCTATTATCAACTTTTCTCATGAAAGGGACGATATGCACCTCATCTGATAGAAAAATCTTCGGGCTATTCAAAGCATTTTTCAGATTGGTTCCAACTTTTACTAAAAAGGCAAAAACAACGGAGTTCTTGTGATTATGACACACTATAGTGCTTAGATAACACCCAAAAGCTTCTTTTCCATATCTTTGATGACTGGCCCCGCCTGTCTTGATACTGTGATCAGCTCACTTTGTAGAGAATTTCAAGGGCTATCCAATGGTATGTTTTCGAACAATACATAATTTTTCTTTATGGCAGAAAGACGACTAACGGAGTGTTCAGAGCACTAAGATAGGTGAAAATCATTGTACCGGTCAAGTATTTCAACTATTGACCAATGTGGGCATATTTTTGAAAGACCCATTTATAGCTCATTTTGAAGCTCGTGAAATTCTCTATCGAATGACATATAAAGCGGAGTAATTCACGAGAAAATCAATGGATATTATAAACATGAACGCCGTTGTGTGGTGTTTCAAAGAAATGTCACTTTCTCCCGAACGGAAAAAAGTAAAGACAAAAGCCTGTGTAGATCTTTTAATGGTCATGTTACCTATGGAATCACGTAAGGTTTATTAATTTATCATCTACCCAAACGGAGTTGATGGGTCAACCGGTAGATGTCACAATTTCACATCTCCGTAGAAAATGGGGAGACGAAGCGATCCGATGATAAGTGAACAGCTTCAAAACACCATTTTCTGATATAGTTTTTCATGGGGAATCTAAAGAAAAAAACATTTGTTCCTTTAAACGCAGAGAAACAGGAGAAAAACGACATTTATCTAAAAAAAGTCGGTTTTTGCAGCTTCAAGGATTTTACAGTTTTTGCCCTTTTTAACCAGAAAAATCTGTTTTTTCTCCATAAATTATACATATTCGGAATCAGCGTAAAATTCCACGTCTAGTGATGAACAACTTGTTGGGAAATAAAATTATGGTCCTCCTTTGAAGTACGGACGCCTTACTTTTTATTTACCCTTATGTATAACACATCAAAGACTTTCCCTACTACGTATTTGAGTGATATCACCATATGTATGAGTATGTTAACAAACACATATTGCTAATCATACAAGTTTCAATTTTCAAAGACCAAAATATGTTTTCGTACTAGCTATCAGGTTTTTATGTTCATCTAAGACTTGTTTTATGTCTGAATCACACATTACTGTGAAACGTGCGTTTTCTTTATCTTTTTTTTGCCTCATCATTCAATTACAAGCACTTTTTTGTTCCTTTCTTCTTTAAATAAAAATTATTTTGTGCGCAAAACAAGGTACGTCTCACAGTTGTCACCTCAACACAAGAATACACACTTTTATTGAAGATTAGTAAGTAGATGCACGTCTTAGTTTTCAGTCAGACAAATCGTTTTTATTTATAATTGACGCCTTATGGTTGACGCTACATGTACTAGTTGTGTCTCAGGACACTTACATGAAGGAAATCCAAGTGGAACGACGGATACAATGGTAGGACTCCCCGTGTACATTGCTACGAATAACACCACCACCTCAACAGATAAAATCATTGTGGTTATGACAGACGTCTTTGGATGGGAACTCAAGAATATACGTCTTCTAGCTGATGAATACGCATCGAACGGTTTCTACGTCCTCGTACCAGACTTCTTTAAAGGCGATCCAGTTCCACTTGAACTCGAAGCAAAGCTAGCTCCTCCGTCAGCACCAAAGAGAAATTTCTTTACTGCAGTGAGTGATACATTTAGCGCCGCTACAACTGTCGGGCCTTGGCTTATCCGACATCGAGAATCAGTATCGAAACCAATCGTCGACAGTTTCTTCATCGGACTTCGACAACAGTATCCATCTTCAAAGATCGGAGCAGTCGGTTTCTGCTGGGGTGGTCGATACGCTATTCTTCTCACTCATACAGATGCAAAAGTCCAGGTTGATGCAGCTGTCGCAATTCACCCGAGTTTGCTGTCCATACCTTCGGAAATTGAAAAGATTGCAAAACCAGTTAGTTTCGCAGTTGGTGATAAAGATCAGTACATGTCAGTTAAGCAAGCCGATCAAACAAGACTGATCCTGTCGAAGAAGACAAACGTCGATGGAGAAGTTGAAGTGTATCCAGGAATGGTACATGGATTTGGTTGTAGAGGAGATTTGACAATAGAAGAGAATAAAAAGGGACATGATAGAGCAATGAAACAAACTATAGATTGGTTCAAGAAGTACTTGTAAATTTTAGTACTCCTAATCTGAACAATAAATGTGCATTTGACTTCTTTTTATGCACACACAAGCCATATATAATACACTTAACTTTTTCTGCACATGCATATACAATTAAGTAATTACAAGGACGTTCTAGTCATATTATGCAATTTACGAATGAAGAAAAGAAAAGGTCAGAGCCTATTTATTTCTCTCTCTCACTCAGGAAAAAGATTTGAAGTTTGGCAAAAATATTTCGTTTAGGAAGAGACTTGATTCAACACAATGTTTGTACGAAACGGAAAAATTATGAGACGACAAAAAACAAAACAAATCATCGTTGAGTTTTGGAGACTCCATTCTGTGCAGTCAAGGGACTGCACAGAACTGTTTTTAATCATGCATACGTCACTATACTTTAAACTGTGCTGCTGTTGCGGATTCAAGAATGATAACTTCTAATTCTGCTGTTGTTATTTGCATGCTCTGACTAGGCATGATAATTCTTTATTCATCCATAAGCCTGCGTAGAAAGGGAATATATTTTCTTCGTAGGAAAGAAAAAATAATTTTTGAGCGAGAATGAAAACAATAGGATACAGAGAAGAAATATGAATACCACGCGGAGGAGAAAATGGATGATTTTAACTTTCATTGATATCAGCTGTAATCAATAACAAACTATCAAACAAGTTCTATTACTTTTGCCACCTCTACACTACGACAATCATATTTGCAGGTGTTGGTGCAAACGAGTTTTGAAGTCTTTAATAGTGGGAGAGCTCACTACAGCCTCGGGTAGGGTTGTATTCCACTCCCGAGCAGTTCGGTAAAAGAAACTACTGAGGATGGTCTGAGTTCGAGCAAAAGGAACCTCGACTTGAGCTTGATATAGAGTGTTACGATTCGATTGTCTGTTTGGGTTATGTCTGATAATGCCTAATCTAAAGAGAAGTGAGAATCCTCTAAAAATTTTGAAAAAGAGAACGAGCCAGAAATATTTACGTTTAGCCGAAAGCAGAGAAAGGTTTAATTTGTTCGCTAGGTCAGATCCTACACTATTAAAATCCCGTGTGATCATATGTGCAGCCAAGCATTGAACAGATTCTGGACGGGTATTGTTATTTGCAAAGTCAGTATCATATAATGCACATGCATAGTCCATTTTACTCAAAATGCAAGTTTTACAGATTTGAAGCCGGACGTGAGCAGATGCTTCTTTTTTAAACTGGCGATACATCGCTCCAAGACGTTGTCTACAAGACAAAGCGAGGTCTTCTACGTGCTGAACCCACCTCAAGTTGTAACTTATCTTGAGATCTAACAGGGTTAGATGCATAGCTCGATTCATTAGGGTTCCTTGATTTAAAGTAAACTGGTAATTATCAACTTTTTCTGGACTATTAGAGACAAACGTCCAAGAGCATTTCGAGACGTTGAGTGACATTAAGTTACCTAGACACCAATTGTTGATGTGATCTATGTTAGCCTGGCAGTCGGAGAGCAAATGTGAGACAGAAATGGGACAAATCAACGTGCAGTCATCAGCAAACAGGATAGAATCAGCCGGCAGTGAAACCTTTGACGGTAGTTCATTAATGAAAATTAAGAATAGGAGAGATCCTAGAATTGAGCCCTTAGGTACCTCAGCAGTTACTCGACAGAATTTAGAGAGTGAAGTACCCACTCTCACTTGCTGCCTTCGACCACTTAAGTAACTAGAGAACCATTCAAGAGCACTAGTGGAAAGCCATAAAGAGGACAGTCGATGAAGTAGTATCTGAAATGGTACTCTGTCGAATGCTTTTTCTAAATCAAACGTCACTAAAACAGTATCAACGGGATTGATTTGATTCAGGTTTTCCGTGAGCTTATACAACAGATAAGCAAGAGCATCCAACGTGGAAAATCTGGGACGAAAACCGAATTGATTATTAGAAAAAAAGTAGGTTTCGTTTAAATGTTTAAGAAATTGATCGTATATAAACCTTTCGAGAACCTTACTAACAATCACCGTGATGATCCGCGAACGACACTATCGCGAAGACTCGTTGGAAAATAAAAATAAATGAGCGTGGTTTTGTATTTTGTATATCATGTTTTCAAACCTGAGTGAAGTTGTGTGGTTAATAGTCATTATGTGATACAGTTACAAATATCCAGTTTCATTGCTTATCGTGTTTGACCGGTTTTCTCTTCTGTACACGATAAGGTGAAGCTCACTATTTATAGCAGTGCAAAATCCGAGACNTTTCGCGAACAGATTCCGACTCTTCCACGAATTTTCATAGTAAACATTTGGATATTTTTGGCACTGTTCGCGGGAGGTGGTGGACAGTGTGAGAGTGAGTTCGAAAAGTAGTTTCACACAAAGCATATTTTCATGATGCGAAACTAGATATCTGTGACTGTATCAAATAATGACTATTCACCACATTACTTCATTTAAGTTTGAAAACAGGATGTACAAAATAGAAAACTGGTCTCATTTATTCTTGAGTAAATGTACTTTTGATCACCAAAGAAAGATACTTTTGATCACCAAATTTTCCAGCATCACATTTTTATACATGTAAACATATAAATTTTAACAAAGGCAATATTTTCACAGTTCTATTTACATTTATTTACAAATTTAAAGCTGGTTGAATATGTGTAGTCAAATTTCTTCATCTCTTCTTTATTCATTCATAATATCAGTGCACCATTACAATCATGTAGCTGTCCAGTTGGCATGAAACAATATTCATGTAAACATTCGGGTGGATTGGCAATTTTATTTAACTTGTATCAAGTTAGCGATAAAACACGTATTCAACCATTGAGCAAACGAAAAACAAAAGGACGCCTCAAGAAAGTTAGCAAAGCTTTAAATTTGTAAATAAATGTAAATAAAACTGAAAATATTGCCTTTGTTAAAATTTATATGTTTATATAAATAAAAATGTGATGCTGGAAAATTTGGTGATCAAAAGTATCTTTCTTTGGTGATCATTTGTATCTAAAGGCGTTTGGTGATCAAAAGTATCTTTTTTTGGTGATCAAAACAATTGTCACCCTAAACCCTCTATAGTAAAAATTATATTTTTCTTTGAAAAAAAGCTAATTAAAATAGAAATTAATCAACGGACAGTAAGTCGTGTAAACCTTTTTGATCACCAAATCAATTAAAGAATATATAGCAATTAATTAGCAATGATTACCAATTATTAAGCAGACAGACAAAGAAAAGAATATAAAGAACCTTTAATTGATTAATATACAACTGAACATGACGGAATATTATATATTCAAATATATACAAATAAATATATTAATGTTATATTTTAGTAGCCGGCCATAAACTGCACGTCTGATCTGATTTCGAACCTTTTACTTTTGTTTCCGAAAATAAACATTCAAAATCTATCGTTCTTCATGCTTAACTGCAAGAATGTCGTTTTTGGTTTTAAAATATAACATTAACAGTAAAACTTCTAAAAACTTCAACCGTTGAAATTAAACGTCTTTCCATATTTCTTCTTGTATATACTTTTTTTATATTCTTTTTCTTGTCTGTCTACTCATTAATTGGCAATCATTATTTTTATTTTTATTCGTGTCTTGCTGTGATGTAATTTATCCAATGAACAAAAATAATCATGCGGTGTTTTAAACAGAGCAATTCTTTTCTTCGAAACGTTTTGTATCGCTCGATTTGAAAGAGATGAGATTTGAAAAGAAAGAGATTTGAAAAGAAATGAAGAAAGAAGATAAATAAGGAGAAGTAGTTGGCAAACTGAACAGATAAAAAGAGTAAGAATCATGTGTCAGTAGAAATATACTTATAGTCACGAAAGACCGCGTATGATCGTATCAGAACTTATGGAATCATACCATTTCGTGTGTAAGATCTCCTAAGATCGCATGGATAATTGTTGTACAAATCGTATAGTCAGAACCCTGTGACTTTTCAGCAGGGCCGTTCAGAACGAGAGGGGTGACTCCTTCTCCAATGTCATCCTTATAACCGATCCAAAATGTCATTTTATAACCGATCCTCACAAATACACCTCTAAAATTGGAGAGATCGGTTCTGATAAAAATCTTTTTTAGTCCCAGTCAGAGTCCGAGTCCTCAATTTCCACACGACAGACAGTGATCAGAAGATAGATAAGAGAGATCTAGAAAATGGACATGTAATGATAAGAGTGTCTATGGTTCAGAAATATACTTATAGTATAATAAGGAACCAGGTAACATTGTAACAATTACTACAAGAATAGTTGGTGCTATGTGTATGTCAAAGATAACAAGCAACGTATAAGTTTTTAAGAAGGCTCTTTGATCAAACGTTGTTCTAAAACAGCCAACTTTGTCCATTTTTTACCAAAAAGGAGGAAAAGCAGTAGAAAATTTTATTTAGGAGGAAAAGGTGGGAAAGTAGGACGAGTAGACTGCAAAAGAAACCTGTGTACTAAAATCTCGTCTTTATTTACCTGACATGCACTGAAAGTGAATTTATTCACTTTTTACGCACAGCGTATGCACCAGATGTCATTCACTACTAGTCTCCCATGCACCGTTTATGCACCGCGCATGCGCTATGTATGCATATCATATACGATGCAAGTATTGTCATCAGGTCTTATAGTAGCGCAATTCAATTTGTCATGAAGAGATTCTTTTTCATGAATTGACTGTACTTCGTCATTTTTACTAACGTTTGTCCAAAACTAAATCTTTATAGATCGACAGTATTGAAGTAGTTAACTATCCCGCTGATTAATAAAGTTCAGATAAAAAAATCTATTTTAGACAGCTGGCGCGAATCCAGAGCTGCCACTGTATATTAAGTGAGACTTCTAATTCTGTCTTTAGATCGAAGCCCATAGTCTACATATTTGAGGGAATTTATTGCTTCCACTGTGTTCTGCAGAGCTATTAACTTTCTAGAAGAAACAATTAGTTATTAGTGAGAAGCATAATACAATTGTAAAGGAAATAACAAACATTATCATGATTAGAGCGTAAAACAAGTAAACTGTTCAAACGTAAAAAGGCAGTCTTTATTTATCTTAGCGGCCATGTGTCTCTGCTTTAAGGTTTCAGTTGAAGTT